GGCTAGCATTCATGACTGGCCACGACCTCAGTCTGTGATGGAGGTCAGATCATTCTTAGGGATGACCGGCTACTACCGCAATTTCGTCAAGAACTACAGTACGGTAGCCGCCCCTTTGCCTGATCTAACACACCTTTACGCACCATGGAAATGGACAGACAAATGTGAGGGACCCTTCAAACGTTCGAAGTATGCTCTCATGCATCATAAGATTCTCATACTTCGTAATCTTGAGAAGCCATTCATTGTGACCACTGACGCAAGCCAATATGCCATTGGCGCAGTGCTGGCTCAGCAGGAAGGGAAGAAGTTGAGGCCGATCGAGTACATGAGTAAGAAGATGCCATCTAACGAATTGGCGAAGTCCACCTATGAGAGGGAACTCTACGCCCTTTACAAAGCCCTTGTCCACTGGAGGCATTATCTGCTTGGTAGGTTTTTCTATTTGAGGACCGACCATCAGACACTCAAATGGATCAAGACACAGCCTGTTCTCTCCGACGCACTCAAACGCTTGATTGAAGTCGTAGGATCAATATGACTTCAAGCTAGACTATGCGAAGGGAGAGCACAACAAGGTTGCTGATGCATTGTCGCGTAGGTGGGGTAGACTACCTAGGTGCGCTAATTACTGAATTTGGCTTATCCGACGATGTAACTCGATCGCTGGTGGATGCCTACAAGGAAGATCCCGTCATGATGGACATCATACAAAGACTAGAAGCCCAAGACAAGGCCACATCTGACGAGTTTGTGATGGTGGATGGGTTACTCTTTCTTGAAAAGGCAGGGTTTAAAAGACTGTGCGTGCCGTCCAGTAAGATTTTGCGTAGTTTATTTTTAGGTGAGTGACATAACGCAACAGGACATTTCAGCTAGAAAAGACCAGTGCTAACTCAGTGCAGCGTTTCTGGTGGCGTAGTATGCTTGACGATGCGAAGAAATACGCCACGACTTGTCACGTCTGTCAGCAGGATAAGCAGCGAACTCAAGCACCTCTTGGGTTACTCAAGCCCTTGCCTATCCCTGAAACTCCGGGACAGAGTGTCTCCATGGACTTCATGGACACCCTCCTGACCAGCAAGAGTGGCAAGAGGCACATCTTCGTCATAGTAAACAGGTTTACTACGTACGCTAGACTGATCCCCATGTCAAAGACTGCCAAGACTGAGCACGTCATCAAGTTATTCATGGATAACTGGGTGAGTGATTCTGGACTGCCCAAGACCATTATTAGCGACAGAGATGTCCGGTTCACCAGTGCAATGTGGAAGAAGGCTGCTGAACAGATGGGCACCCAACTCCAAATGACTTCGGGGAATCATCCTGAAGCCAACGGCCAAGCCGAACAGATGAACCGCGTGGTGCAGCATTTGCTGAGGCATTACATCAAGCCCAGCCAGGATAACCGGGATGAGAAGTTGCCTCGCATTGCCGGCCTCTACAACGAAGCTGTACACACCACCACCGGCGTCAGTAAACAATGAGCTGCATTTGGGGTCGAAGCCTAGAGCTGCACTAGACTTCCTCCTTCCTCAAAATGGCCCAGCTGCAACACCTGGAACCTTAGAATTTGGTGTCCAGTATGAGAAGCTGCGGCAGCAGGCTGTTGAGCACATCAGAAAATCTCAGGAGGCAACAATTGCCTATGACAACAAGCACAGACGACAGTCCACATCTCAGGTAGGGGAACGTGTCTGGGACAGGAATTTGGTATCTCTAGAAACTAATGCCGCAATATCTCGGTCCGTGGGAAGTTCTGGAGATTGTGGGTGCCCCCCCCTACTGGACATCTGAGCACTTACCCTGTATTTCATGCTTCCAAGCTTGCACATTACGCTGAGACTGTTCAGTTCCCATCAAGAAGATCAATGCCGCCCTCAACCATGGACGGAACACAGAGATCTGCCTGTCCCCAAGCCTGTAGGCAGAGGAAGACCTCCGAAACCTATGAGGGAGTGCCGGGCCAGAAAGAAGATCGTTGGTTCACAAGAGAGGATGTTACATGCCCAGTTGGGTGATGTACATATAAACCGACGGTCCGCAATGTGATAAAAAGGACTGAATGGACAATGCAGTGCAAGTAGAATCTCAACAAGCAATGTGCATTCTGATACATACAAAATGGTGCTGAATAGCGCAGGGAAGACTTAGATACAACTCCGGACCTGACCGGGACTGACCTCATTCACGTAGTACAAGATAGCAAGGCAGAATGCTAGAATGCTAACGACTAGCCCAATCAATGTTTAAACGCAGACAAAACATGCATCGTGTCCATCACAAGGTGTGAAGGAGCCTGGCGCTGTACACAGGAAGGAAGCGCCAGGTCCAGACATACACAGACGAAGAGGAGGGGATCAGACGAAGAAGAGGGGGAGAGATGGGAATGTCGTCAACACCAAGTCTTTGTCACAAGTCCCAAATAATCCCTCGTCGCAATGTCTGAAGCCCAAAAGTCGAGTCTGGATCCAATGTCACCAAGCTCTCTCTCTCGCTTTCTCTCGTAGTCTGCTGATGCAGTGAAGTCAGATAATGAGAGGGCGAGAGGGAGATGGTGGACTGAGAAGAGGAAGAAGAAAAACTCTCTCTCTGTGTCACGCGCCAGATACAAACCTGTGAAGTTGGCACTGTGCTGCAGGTACCTCGAAGACGGAGCTGGAGCAACGGCGCTGCAGGTAGGTACTCCTGGCCTCCGCCCAGTCTCTCTCTCTCTCTCTCTCGCTAGTACTATCCTAGCTATGGCGCCCAGCACTGAAGACTACAGCTACCTACTGGCGCCCAGCGCTGAAGACTAATGCTAACGCTACTACTCCTGCAGCGCTCCCTCCAGAGTGCTGCTGCCGAATCCTGAAGACTACTGACTGCCTCCTGCCTACTCGTGAAGTGCATGGGAAGTCCCTATGTACTACCTCGGCCTGCCTCCGACTGCCTGCAGTTGCAGGGCGGGCAGTCCAGGAGGCTTCTCTTGCCAATGCCACGCTGAGCCAGGGGCTGGCGCTGCAGTTGTCGTGGGAACAGGCCAAAAATAGCCTGTTCCTAAAACCCTGGTTCGCTGCCTGAGTTTCAGGGCAGGCCGGTCTGATGACAGACCGGAAATCAGACCGAAAATGGCCCTTCGTTTCAGGCTAAAAAGGCTGCTGCCATTTTTAGTCTGAGGCCCCTGGATTTCAGGTTTTCGAGCTGAATGGTCACGGGGCCTGTAGGCCCTGGTTTTCAGGCTTTCAGACTGAATTTCAGGCTTTCGGCCTGAGGGACGCAGGGCCTGGAAAATGGCCCTCGTGTGCAGGCGCAGCATGTAACAGAGGAGCTCATCAGAACATCACCTCAGATCGTGGCAGAGTACGAACGAAAGTTGGAAGGGGAAAGCACCTGCATAGAATGATTGTGGCAGAGTATGAACAAAAGTTGAAGGGGGAAGAATCTCAGCGGACTCTTGAAGCTAAGGGGGATGGAATGCGAGGACTTAGCCCAGCTAAGGCCTTTCAGAGGCACACAAACGTTCTGGGCTTAGGGCCCCAGCAAGCCTCATGCCCGTCCTAAGTGAAGGTGGGCCGGCATATCCCCGAGAGGCCTATTTTTGACATTTTCCGTATGTGGAGTATCAGACAGTTGCAGCATGCCAGTTGGTTACAGAGCAATGTGATCCTTCTGTGGCTCCTTCCAGAAGCAACACCTGTGCCGTACAGTTGAGCCCAGGGCTCAGGTGGTTGCGCCCTGGGCACACGTAGTGCGAGGCCGGCACATCACGCAGTGGCTACGTACCAATGAGAATGCAGCATTGTCGTCACACATCTACCGCGAGCCAATGAGAAAGAGGCAAACACTTGGAGCCCGGAGGGCTACCTGGACTAACTGCATGGGGCCCAGGCCAGTACCTGAAACTGGCCCTGGGCGCAGACACTTGGGGAAAACCTGAAGCTACTGTGCCCCTACATGCCAGGCCCAGAACAGCCAGTGGCAGGGCACACTTTCCAATATGGGACAGTGAGAGCCCAGGGACACGGCATTCTGGCCTGACTGGGCAATGCGGCCACGCTGCTGCATTAGCGCATGAGCAGTTGCGCTAAGCTGCGGGTCAGACACGCACACGGGCGCTGAGGTGAGAGGGGCGCTGCTGAGGCCACGGCGCATGGCGGCCATAACCGGCCTACTGGGGCGCAGGTGGGGTGATGGCGATGGTGGTCTTCGGGTAGGAGGCGCATGCAGTGGGCGGAGACAGGGGGTGATGAGGGGAGGAGTGAGACGCGTACCTGGCGTATGCTGGCGGTCTGCACTGACGATTGACGTCACGTACATTGGTTTTCAACTTCGACGTGTCCCTGTTGCATGAACGTAGATAAGCTACATAGGCTGAGTAGAATAGGCTGGGCGCTGGGCGCCAGACAGTAGGAGCGAAATTGGATACTATGTTGGTGAGACCAGAGAACGTCGGCATTGACACTCGAGTTCATTGTATTGCTCTTATTTGGACGGTATCTTGGTGCATTGTGCTCTCTGCTTGGTACATGACTATCTGGGATACTTTGTGATTTCGCAATTTGGATTTCTTTCTATCGCTCTCGCTCATATTCCTTGCAAAAAAAAAACACAAACAAACAAACAAACAAAGCAGGCACTGAAGTCTGACCACGGGGCTACATGGTTCCCAGCACATTAGGCTAGAGAAGAAAGCAAACATGACTCAATTACAGAAAAAAAAAAAAAAGAGAAAATGTAGGGGAAACAAAAAGAAAAGAGAGAAAAAATAAAAAAATAAAAAACAAAGTAGATTCTGAATTTCAATGTGGTTGGTCATGCACCTCACAATTTCAAGGCGGTTGGTTACGACACCTCAAACAATCAATGTCAAACAGCAACTTAGCTTAAGAGCCCAACAAGGATAACGCTAAGGTTCTATGGCCAGCCAAAAAAAAAAGAAAAAAAAGGTAGAAAAAAAAGGATAAGGCTAAGGTAAAGATAAGGTCAGGCAAAGAATTACCATAGGGTCTGTGAAATACCTGCAACTCCTCCGGCGTCGATTCTATGAGGACGATCCCGGGCATATACACAGTCATCTAAGGCAAAAAAAAGTCGCACGCCGACACACATATTAGCCAAACACACAAGCACAAGAGCACACACAGATGCACATGGGCACACAAAACACACACACACACACACACACACACACACACACACACACACACACACACACACACACACACACAAATGCAAATGGGCACACACACACACACACACACACACACACACACACACACTCGCGCACAGATGCACATCGGCACACAGAACACACACACAGATGTGCATGGGCACACACACACACACACACACACACACACACACACACAACCACACACACACACGTACACAGGCACACACACAACCACATGTGCACACGCACAGACACTCACACAACCACACGCACAAACGAACACAACCACAGGCACAAATGCACACAACACACACACACACACACACACACACACACACACACACACAGGATTCGAACCCATGATCTATTTATCATTAGTTACATGTGTTCACCAACTGGGCCTTACTGGTTGAAGTCAAGTTTTTTAAGCAGGGATGGCCCCTGCCATTATTGTATTCATTCATCCGATCTGGTTAGATCAGGATTCGAACCCATGATCTGCTTATCAATAGTAACATGTGTGTTCCAACTGGGCCTTCATGGCTGAAGTTAAAAGTTTTTAAGCAGGTATATCCCCTAACATTATCGTATTCATCCGATCTGGAATCGGATTTCGAGCCCCTGATCTGTTTATGCAACTAGGTTATCATTGGTTACATGTGTGATCCGATCAGCAACATGGGCTTTTTGAACCTTTTCCCCATGAACTTCCAGGTACTTACTTAGTTTATTTATGATTAAAAAAAGGATAAACAAAATAGTCAGGGAAATTTTGATTTCCCCCCCTCAAAGGTGAGGCCTTTCCTTACTTGCCCTTTCTGAGATACAAGATTCATCAAATTTGCCCTTGTGAGATACAAAATTAATCAAATGCCCTTCCAAGAAGGGTCCCAAATTTGCCAAGTATCCATCACCTCGATCGGACCTGACATCTTCCCGATCTGCCCCCCTTTGGATGCCAGTTCAACACCCTGCAATACTTGTGTTTTGTCCCTCAAAAGGATGTGCTATTTTGTGCTTTGCCCCCCCCACAAGGTGTCAAATCCCTCAAATGTCCTTCCTAGAGGGGTCCAAATTTGCAAAATATCCATTGTGTCGCTTCCACCCAATATATTTTCAGTATATGCCCCCTTAGGTGCCGGTTTAGCTTTCCTGGTTGCCCCAGTACTTCTGGCCATTCCTCCCTCCGATCCAGCCTTTGGGAGGCTCAGGGGCATGGCGCAAATTTGCACGGCAGCAAAAATATATTTTCAGTATATGCCCCTTTAGGTGCCGGTTTAGCTTTCCTGGTTGCCCCAGTACTTGTGGGCATTTCTCCCTCGGATCCAGCCTTTGGGAGGCACAGGGGCATGGTGCAAATTTGCACGGCAGCCCAGCATCGGACTGCCAAAAAGATCACCACCGCAGCGCAGTCCGCAACAGGTTTGATTTTCAATCAACGAGGAGTAAATCAAGAAATCCCGCACCTTAAGACCGCTAGTACACAGAAAAAGGAAAAAAAGAAAAAAAAAAGAAAAAAAAACGCTAGTACATGGCCCCAGCCTTGTGGAGCATCGTTCGTCACCTACTCCTAAAAAGTCGGCGCCCGCGCGCCGTGGATAAAACAAATCGACGGCTGGCATTGCATTTTGGCCTCCGAAACGAGCCCGCGGCCGATATGTGGCATGTACTAGAGCGGTTTAAACCACCAGTACACGGCTCCAGCCAAGTTGAGAAATCGCGAGTGAAATCGCGAGTGAGCCCCTCCTAAAACTTTGAAATTTTGGGACTGGGCCTCCAACCGGTGGGTCCAGTACAAAAGAATGGTCCCGTGACTTGGCGCAGCACTGAACCAAAAAAAGAAAAAGAAAAAAAAAAAACACCGCCCGCCCCCAGGCAGGTCCTGTCCCAAGTCCTCGAACTTTTCGGAGATGAACTTATCGGAGATGTCCTGTCCCGAGCGACCTTGGTTGCCCGGGCAGCCCTGCCGGGCAAGGGTCAGGGAAGGCCTGTGCGAAAAACTATGTTGTGCAGAAAAATAAACTGGAAAACTTTTGCCTCAGAGTCACGTCGAAATTCTTTGTCAAAACAATAAATAAATAAAGTTAGCAAAAAACCTAGGTTACCAGAGTGGCCCGGGACCACTTGCCCGGCCGGGCCAAAAAGAAATTAAAAAATAAAAAATAAAAAATACAAATAAAAAATATTTTTTATTCGAAATTTGGTTAAAAAAATCGATATGACCTTGACGCAAAAGTTGTCAGTTTATTTTTCTGCATAACATTTGTTTTTTTTCGTTTCGTTTCTTTTTTTTCTTTCGGCTGGGACCTTCTCTGGTCCTTGCACCGCTGGGCCGCCCGGACAACAGGGTGACCCCATCCGCAGCACTAAAACAAACCTGAAGTGAAGACCAATCTTGAGGATGGCATTTGGAGAAAAGCTTTACACCAAACTCAAATTGAACAATCACACCAGCACACTTGATAGAAAAAAAAAAAGGAAAAAAAAAAAAGTGATGTCCACTTGAGGGCCAGGCTGCACTGAGCAGTCTGCAATAAACCCCCCCCAAAGCCGTAACACACTCTGGCTATGGCTGCACCCCAAACCCTCTCCTTCAGCTGTCCAGATTGGCTGCTGTTGCTGCTGCTCCTCTTCACTCCACCATAATCACTAACTGAAAAATGAATGAACTGCAGTCCTAGCTACCAACAGGGCGTAGCTCAGTTGGTACACCTCTGAACTGTTGAAATACAGACTCAAGCTCGAATCCAGATGTCTTCAAACGATATTTAAAAAAAAAAAAAAAAAAAAGGAACTGCAGTCCTAGCTCGTCACATGCTGTTATGCCAATTTTCCCTGGGCCTACAGGGTCCTACCTGGCTCCTATCGGGTCCTATAGGGCCTATAGGTGCTATAGCGCCTAGGTGCTATAGGGCCTATAGGTGCTATAGCGCCTAGGTGCTATAGGGCCCAGGGCCTATAGGTGCTATAGCGCCTAGGTGCTATAGGGCCTAGGGCCTATAGGGCCTATAGGTGCTATAGCGCCTAGGTGCTATAGGGCCTAGGGCCTATAGGGACTAGGTGCTATATTTCCCATGTGTCCAAGGATCAGCTAATAGTATATGCTTACTTGGAGGTCCCAGGTTCGAATCTGACTGGCGCCAAACTTGGAAAACAAAATGAAGTACAACTTGTTTAAATACAACGTGTTTTTTTTTTTTGTTTTTCAACCTTGGGCCAGGTCTCGATTTCAAATCCCCCTCAGCCCGGCCGTCTCTGGCCGGTCCTGTAACGTAGCGAAGGAGAGCGTTCATGGTAACCACGGACCCGGACACCGGACACTTCCGGACCTCTTTCCGGACCTGTGTCCGGACCAGTTCCGGACATCATCGGACACCGGACATCACCGGACACCGGACTGTCCGGACTGTGTTGGCAGGGACAAGATGTCCGGAAAAAGAAAAAAAAAAGGCGGGGAGGGAGCCTCCTATCCCCCCATCTTTCCCTCTTCCCCCCTATTTCCCCGAACCTCCCCTCCCCCCCCCTCTATCTCCCCGAACCTTGTTCCTCCCACTGCACGCCTTCCCCCTCCTCCCTCCCTGAACCTCCCCTATCTTTCCTGCCAGTCTCCATACCAACCCCGTATCCCCTATCTTTCCCCTATCTTTCCCGCCAGTCTGCATCCCAACCCCCCATCTTTCCCGACCCTACCCGCCAGTCTCCATCCCTCACTCCCTGAGCTTCCTTCCTTCCACTGCGTACCTCCCCTCTCCCTCCCCAAACCTCCTCCCGAAGCTCCCGCCGTGGAAGAAAGGACAAAGCCGGAAGAAAGAGAGAGAGAGAGAGAGACTGACCTGCTTCTTGGACGTTGGCGGCAGCTGGCTGGTTCGTCGGTGAGGGCTGGACATTGGCGGCGGCTGGCTGTTTCGTCGGCGATGGCGGCTTCCTCATGGATGGCTGCGTGGCTGCAGGGGGGACGTGACGGGCAGGAGCTGGTGGCTTCCGAACAGCGCGCCCGCGAGATTCAAAAACGGCCAGTTTGAAAGTCCTGGCCCTGCTTCCTGCCACCCCACCTGAGTCTGCACAGACTGTGGTGGGTCCGGCCTTCGACCGATGTCCGGTAGGGCGAAAAGACACAAAAATCGGCCCACTATTTTTCCGGGGCCGCCGACGACCCGAAAAATGTCCTTGGCAGCCCCTTTTTTTTTTCTGATTTCTCGTTGGGGGGCCCAGTTCCGGACGTCCAGGACCGGACAGCGGACCCCTACATAATGTTTGGGGCGTCTGGAAACCGTTCCGGACGTCCGGTCGGTTACCATGAGAGTGTTTGTTTCTTTTCTTTTTTTTTTCTTGCCACAGCGGACAGTTTCTTTGTTTATGTTTGTTTGTTTGTTTGTTTGTTTTTCACTGTCTGCAAGTGTCCCTTCATGCAAACTTTGCAAAGGCTCTTTTTCTTTTTTTAGTTTTTTTCCTACCTACAGATTCAAATCCTGTAGGATGCTGAATTCTTTTGGGGGAGAGTGGCCAAGTGGTTGAGAGCGACAGACTGTAAATCTGTTGAAGCTTATAGGTTTGAATCCTGCCTCCCCCACTTTGTGGCCTTCATACGTTCATTAATTAATTAATTAATAATTATTAATTACATGCAATGTACTTGTGGGAGCGAAAGTCTAGGATGGCTCTATTCTATTCTATTTTATTACTAATATTTTATTATCTGATGGTAATTAAAAGGGCCTTTACCCGATATAGGCCTCAGGCCTTGTAAAAATAAAGCAGCACGAGCCTTGAAAAAGAAAAGCATTGTGAAAAGGTATCTCGCCAGAGCTCAGAAACGTGAAAGCAGGTCAAAGGTCAAGTTCTCTGTCAACAGGCATATCTAAAGCTAAGGCAAAGGGCATTGTCAAAAGACTTACCTGTTCACCAGGAGATGTGTATGTCATGTCTGTTTGGGTAAGAGTGTGTCTGTACGTGCAGGCAGTGT